GTACAGTTTTCTGCAAGCCTTTATCTCTGGTGATCATTGCCCAGCAGTGAAAATGCGTGGATGTTCACCCCAAAAATAGGACGGTTTTAATGGCTGGGAGAAACATTATTGAGATGCTGTCCTGTCTTCTATGTATAAGGGGGGTCATGGATAATTAAAACATGCCCACAACAAATTTAATAATCTCTTCATTTAACATTCAGTCCCTCTGGCCTTAAACAACAGTGCAAAAGAATGGAACAAACTTAAAAAGCAATTCACTGCCATTTTTGCACACCGTACATGTAATTAGAATCATCTTCTCCAACCTTAGGCAATAGTAAGAAACCATATTTTCTTTGTGTATCATAAATTAGTTTGCAAATAACTGAAATGAGAGGTGGAGGGAGACGATTGAATGAACTAAATAAATAACGCAAACTACAAATAAATAAATTAATTTATTTCAAACCAAACTGAATTATTTATTCATTCAATATGACAACAAAACACTACTGTATACATTTAAGGCTTATACTCAACTGGGTTTTATTTTCACTTTTTTTTTTTCTTCACTGGCAGTTAACAATAGAATGTATTGATTCTTTCACAAACCAGTGAATTTAAAACATAGTGAATATCCCTGCAACATAAAATTCACTAGAATTAAACCAATATTTATATATATTTTTCTTTCTACGAGTAGTTTTAGACCCAAAGTGACCTTGAATTTCAACTTGAATATACTGGTATGCTGTATTGTCATATTGTTCATAACAGTTTAATAATCTTAAAAACACAATAACATTGGCTAACAAACAAGCGATACTTGTGTGTACAATTCAAACAATGGGAAATGTCCATCCACCCAGGGATGACCAACAGGGTCTTTAAATGCCGAAAGTAGTTCCCAGGTTGCTGTAATGATAAAAAGAATGAAGGTTGATCTATTGTCTTCTATTGTTCTCAGTATCATTAACTCTGTTTACATTTACCTGTCTATTGTGCCAAACACAATAGCATAGATAATCCAGGCAATGATTTACCCTAGAAATCAATAGAGGTCTTTGAAGGAAATAACATTAACTCTTCGTTGAGGTAAAATAAATGTATAGAAAAGATATTTATTGATTTGCGACACTGAAATGTATCGTGATTCAGACATGAAAACCATCGTATGCCCAAACTTTGTATAGAAGTACTTATTCAGGTGCACACATGATCTTTCAAATGCTCATCTCCATGGCTAATAATAACATTTATTTTTTTATTTATTTTTTTATTTATTTATTTTTTTTTAATTTTTTTTTTTATTTATTTATTTATACTTACTCACTCACTCCTGGAGAGAGTGGCAATGGTTACAGATAATAGTAAAAGAATACAGTATTAATACAGTATTAATAAGGAAGTAATAAAAAATAAACTAATCTACAAAAACACAATATTAATGGGGAAAAAAATAATAAAACAACTCCTTCTAGAAGAAAGATGTATATTAATCCAAAATTTGTTTAATTTCAAAGCACTTGTTGATATACTGTGCTACCTGGATGACAATACTATCATTATTTAACAGTGCAGTGAACTGTTCTTCAGGAGGCATTTACATGTAGGTCCTGGACCCATAACACTTTGAACGTCAAGTAAACATTTGTGCTATTTGTCACCAAAAAATGTTGATCAGGAATTATAACCAATAGCATATTGTGTCCATCTGGTCCAAAATTAACAATAAATTATGAAAAAAAAATTTCAAAATGTTGTTCTAAAATTTTGGCGGGAAACATTATGTCCTCTACGTACTGCTGTTGAATTGTGATGATGTCTAATCTTGAAAAAATTTGCTTTTGTGGTTGCTATGCTCCTGAATATTCATTGTGAATTATTTCCGGGATTAAAAAAAAAATTTACAATCTGCTGGTCAGTGATAGAAGCTTGGGTATCCTAGCAACAATGATGATGAAGTTCTTGTATCCAGCCATGAAGAGAATTGATGCTCAGTACATTATGACGTACAT